GTAACATTTATTCTCTGCCTTTATTTGCGAGCACCATTTTTACTATGTCATTTTCTCTGAAAGCAGCCTTGAAGAAAGCTCCATGTGCTCAGAACATGCAGGGGATTGAAATGAGTCTTTAGCAAGAAATTGCTTTGAGTCATTTCCAGGTGTATTTTTGTTTTTGTGCCACTTAATGTATTCTCTGTGCCCACGCACAATAAGCGAGAACAATGGCAGTGTTAATGGAAACATTTAACAGGAACCCGCTGCTCCCCAGAGAACAAAGACATTTTTTAATATAGGCTATATTGACGGCATTCAATCAATTCTGTTTCTTTAGCTCATGAACATCTGGCCTCGAGGCACTGACAGAGTGAGTTCCCGGAGTGGCAGCGACATTCAAACATATTTGTTCTTGTTCTGTGAATTCAATGTGGATGTTTCTGCCAGCAACATTTAACATTTAGGCATTTAAAGTTCAGACATTTTTAAATCAGTGTAAGTATTTGATTCTTAGATATTGGGCAGCACTGCTTCTAAACTCTCTTTTTTTGCAGCAGGTTTGCTGTTAAAGAAAAACCCTATTGTATGGACTACAGTAGAAAAGCAAATTACAGTGGATTAACTCTATATTGTTCCTCTGTGTTCTGCTGAAATGACACATCCCCATTTACTCAAGTCCTTAATTACAGTTTGCAGTTAGTGCTTGAGAATACAGTGATTGCAGCAAGGTATAAGAAAAAGAGGATGAGGCTGGCATGGTGACGGTGTTGACTCACCAGATACAAACAGCCACAGTCCTCTCCTCTTTTCAATGTATGTCAGGTGGCCTATTCTTTATTTAATGACTGACTGACTTCATATAAGGAAGTACTTCATTAAGGCATGGTACAGCAAGCAGGTGACGCAGCGCTGTGAGGACAGTGTGTGCCTCATGGAAATTCAAGATTTGATCATGCTGAAATCAAAACAACCTGCGACTTGTGTCTCCACACATTTTGAGTGCCAGCTCAGCTCCGTGTGTGGAGATATTATCTATGGTACATGCAGAAACACACCATTAAGTTAAGTATTGCAAATGTGCTTTGTTCATGGTGCACATGTACAAAGCTAGTCCCAGTATTCATTAGACCCTGAAGCCTTTATAATGTTTGTTTGTTGTTTGCATTGAGGAGGGCATTCAGAGTTGCTTGATTTAATTTACATATATACTCACCACTTAACACAGGACACAGCTCCTCACCTTCAGATTCAAATGCAGACGTATGGTTATTTAAAAAATGTGTTAATATGTTGTATCTAATCAACACACATAACAAACACACTGCAGTTCAATATCTTGAATGTATTCCAGTTCTGCAAAAAATCTTAGCAGCCTAACAAACTTGTTTAAAGTGTACATCCACCACACACAATGTTATTCATTTTGGATGGAAAGCAGGTGAAAACGTTAAACCTGGACATTTTGAATGAATAGAAATGTGGTTTGGTGCATTACATCCATCTCTTTTTTTTTAGTGCACACCTAGTTGCAATTTATTAAATGTTTATTGTTCAGCTCCACTTAGTCTGTCGGCCCCAAAAGACACCGGTTCAAATTCAGAACTAAGAATTTAAATGCACAGAGTTTACAATTGCATTTCTCTATTCTTATGTTTGATTCCTTGTATTTTTGTATTGATGTGCTCCTCTTCTCCCGTTCATTATCGCCTGTATTATTGAATTCTGCCTCCAGTCCACAGCCATCAACAGTAAAATGAAAGGTTTGTCACACCTTATAGAATGACCTATAAGCTTGTGAAAGGTATGACCTTAGGGTGTGAAAGCAATGACTTTAGGGTGTGAAGAAGGTTATAAAGCAGGGCAGCTACAAAAAGCAAGCAATGGAAAAGGTGCTGTTATTAGCAGCTGTAAGCATTTTCAGATGTTTAGGTTTCCTTTTTTCCTCTTAATGACTGCACTGCAGATAACCCACTCAACACATCTTTTGTGTTCAGTCAATACAGCAAACAAGAAGTACATTTTGAATGATCTGCTTCTTGCAGCTTCTAATTACTAGAGATTTAGCATTTCAGTGCCAATCGCTGCATGACATTTAGAAGTAGCCCATACCCCTAACAAAGGGAGACCTTAAACACTGCCCCTCAGGGAATTTGTTCACATTTGTTTTATGTGCATGTTTGAGTTATTTTATGACTAACCATGTTTTTGTTAAACAGAAAGGTTTTGCAAAATTGTCTTTAGGAGGCAATTTTTTTGATTGGGAAACTGAATGTAGGGGCCATCGATGATTCAGAACTGTACATGTGTAAAATGCTGGAAATGCAGATGTTTTAAACATAAAGGATAACACACTCCCCCTCATTAAGCTTGTGAATCAGATGATGAGAACACTTTTCATCAGCCAGCATTCAAGCTGGACAGTGCTGCATCACTGGGATCCCATCAAGGAACACAAAATGATTCTCTATGCCATGAGAATTTTCATTATGAGCATGCTATTCGACAATGACCAGTGAGAGAGATGACTTGGAGCAATAACGAGATGAAGAGAACGATTATTAAACTGCGTTGTTTAATAGGTCAATCGATCACCTAAGGTTTCTTAAACAAAAGTTAGGCATCTCCAGCAAAGCAACATGTTTCACCCGGTTGGACCAGGTGAGACTTTCATTGAGGGACTAGCACAATACATACATACATACATACATACATACATACATACATACATACATACATACATACATACATACATACATACATACATACACAGCTTTGTAGGCGGTTACATGGGCCCACATTTCTCTGACAGCCACCTCAGGAGTGACCAGTAAAACTTAAGCCTGTGCCACTCTTTGGAGGGTACAGAGAGGGCACATTAAATCCTTCAAATCAGCGTTCAACATCACGCTAGGAGTTCAAGTATTTGCAGAATAAGTAATCCAGACTATGGTGGAGGTCAATCAACTTTAAAAAGATGACCAAGAGGTTAGAACAGTCTGTAATTCGATTTTTAAAACAGCACATATTCTTTCATGAGGGAGATTAGAGAAGATCTCTCTGTACCAAACTTTAAAACTTGGTGGGATATGTTTAAAGCAAGAAAATATCAAGAGGTTTATAGTGTTTGAGGTAAGATGCAGCTCCTTCAAGGGTAAGCATGTTATAAAATCCTAGGGTATTTATCTATTTCACGTTAAATATCAAACAGAGTAATCTGCGAACAGCGTAGGGTTTTTAATTAATGTTTACTTCCAGCAACAAAAAAAAGTAGACCCTGTTTCTGAATGAGCATTACAATTGTTATTATTATGAACAGTTTTTCTATTACAAATACATATTTTGTCCATGATTTCTTTTTGTATTGTCAGAGGGTATGATTTCAGCTCTGGCATCAATGGCTGAGTGGCAGCTGGATGATATATAAGAGGAGAACATCTGCAATCAGTACAGACTCCACAATGGCTCAACAGTCAACATCCCACCAGCGAACAATCAGGTGAAAAGAAAGGTCATCTGCAAAGAGAAAAAACCCATTGATGTTTAGGTCGATAATTATTGTAATTTACTTCAAATAATAGCTATTAGTGCTTTAGCGTTAGGGAAATGGGTGTTGGTCGCCCCATCACTTCTAAACACCACTATACATATTCGATCGAAACGGACAGAATAAATACACTGCAATTCCCTCCTTATTAAAACCTTTACAAATCATAATTTAGCTGAAATTAAAAGAAAATCATGACGCAGTCTGGTGTCATTGACTGGAAAAATGTTGTTAAACAGTGGGCTTCTGTCCTTGTAATAGTAATTATGGTAAATGGATAGCACTCCACTCTGGGCTTTTCTGCCTTTACAGACAAAGTGCTTTACAATTGCCTTTCATTTACCCATTCACATACACTTCCCAGGGAGTGTGTGTTCGCCAGGGGACGAAGCGCCAACCACACGATGAGTCAAAGTTCATCTTGTGTTGCCCGACCTGGCTCTCTCTTGTCCAAACCTAGCGATGAGGAACTCTGCTTCGCTAGGCCTTCTTAATTTTTGTGTTCAAATGTTTTCATTTTCTTATTAAATATAGAGCTGGCTTATGTTGATGGGTTTCATTCATATCTGTCAGGAGAACTAAATGTAATTTTAATTATTAAAGTTATTAAATACATAAACGTTTTCTTTAATAAGGCATAGATTTTTGTTAATTAAAACAAATAAAAACAATGCAGGCAAAGAGTTTAAAAGGTTATTTAAAAAAAGAAAAAGTGATCTTTGGACAATAAGAAGCAACTGGCCAGCTGACCTCGGTGACCTTGCTCGTCACAGTAAAAGGTAGAAGAGAAAGGTTGGAATCAGCCACATTTTCCCGAGGCTTTTATTTAACAGCTTTACTGCTCAGCAACCATGAGAGCAAGGTCTGATATAATTAGCAACATGAGTCTGATCTGATCAGCATCACTGTGTAAACAGGTTTTACAGGGCGCTTAGGTGTGATACAGGTAGCAAATTCTACAGATATTATCAATGAAAGGTGACGAACACTACAGAAAGGTTTTCCAAATAGTGCGTTATTTTTGAAGTGCTTTCAGTCTTCCTTACTGTTTTTGCTGAAGGCAATTCACTTGAAATAAATTGTGGTAAGTGATAAATCAATAAGAAAAATAGTTTAAGAGGATATAATAGATGTAGGTTTTTCTGGCATTAATGGATTTGATAGATTTCTGTGCCTAAAGGGGGGTGGGGAAAGATGACAAGATGATCATGTGCCTGTCTCACTTTGTTTACTTACATGTCGGCCTGCCAGGACAGCTTGGGTTCATTTACCCTCGGATCACTGAGGCTGAACTTCTCCAAAACCTGCAAAATATCTGGGGACTGTGAAGCCAACATGACCAGGTGAGTGTCAGTTAACATTTATTTGTGCTAAATATTCCCTAAACCTGCTGCCATCACACCTAGTTTTGCCCAGTGGGGGCTGTGTATTTGTCCTATTTTCCCTCTTCCATGTCTCACTGAGTGTGGAAATGACAGGGTTATATGGCAGCTTCACCTCCCCCCACTTCCCCCAGCCATACCCTGACAACCAGCTCATAACATGGAACATCTCTGTCCCAGAGGGCCACAGGGTCAAACTCTACTTCAGCCACTTCAGCATGGAGCCCTCACACCAGTGTGAATATGACTACGTCCAGGTATTACACTGCTGAAACTACAACTCCCATTATCTGCACTGGTTAGCCATTGGTGGAATGTAATAAAGTACATTTACTCAAGTACTGCACCTAAGTAGAAGTATTATTACTTCTATTTTGTGGTACTTGCTTTATACTTCTATATCACTACCTTTTGGAAGCCAACATTTGACTTTTTATTCTAGTTAAGAATATTAATATTATTAATTATTAATGTATAAAAAAAATGGTTAATACATTATAATTTATTCTTTTCTGTTAAGAAATCCAGCAGCAGTATGTAATGTTATTTTACAATTTGAAAATGATACAAATAAATGCCATACTGAAATGGGTTATTAATGCATATAAAGACAGTGGTGTAAAGTAACTATAAGTAGATTTACTCAAGTAAAATGTTGAGCTACTTTTCAATTATTTGCTATTTCTTACTTCTAATCCACTACAATTCAGAGGTAAATCATACTACTCAATGTATTTAATAGCTTTGGTTACTTTGCAGATCTGGTTTAATGATGTGAAATATAATCGAAACTTAAATAAGACTTTAGTTACACCTGGAGTAAATGCACCAGCCACCCTGCAATATACAAAGTCATTAAAAATAATCTGTACCTTTACCAGCTTTGATAACACTTTAATGTATCTATATCTATAATCTAAACATATCATATATATTATTCTGAAATAGGCCAATCTGCATAATGAGTATTTTTACTTTTAGTACTTTTAGTATATTTTGATGCAAATACTTTTCTACTTTTACTTGAGTAACATTTTGATCGCAGGACTTTCACTTGTAACAGAGTATTCCTACACTTCTGTACTTCTACTTTTACTCCAGTACAAGATCTGAGTACTTCTTCCACCACTGCATAAAGACTTACACTTTGCCATACATTGCATATTTTACTTAAGAAAGAAGTCTGAGCTCTTCTTCCTCTGTAGCATGATCTTTAAACAGCCTCTGACTGTATCAAACCAGGTTTTGGCGGAGGGAAACGAAACCCTGCGTTTCTGTGGAGAGGAAGAGAAGAACTATGAAAGCAGCCCGAGGAACACCGTCATCCTGTCAGCCGGGCGCCTCATGTCGTTGGTCTTTAGGAGTGACTACTCTAACGAGGGCCGATTCACGGGCTTCCAAGCGTTTTACACCGCAGAAGGTGATGCAGAAAAGTGACATTTGTAGCCACAAGGTATATACATTTGTATTGGCTGTAATTGCACTAAGCAATGTGCAATGTTCTTTCTAAAGATAAAAGCAGGATTATATAATCCCATGTCTATACATAAATTATTGAAAAAGAAAGATTAACAACAGAAATGCATTAGTGACGAAGCAATAGGAAACACTGTTAATGAAATACATGAATATTTAATTGACATACAGGTATCGGCTAATTCAATTAAATAACATAGTTTGAAATACACTTCCTATTTCTCTTTGCATCCTTACGTATGAGCAAAACGTTTTTATCTCTATGTTCCCTTTTTCGGATTTAAGTGTTCATTAATATAATCTACAATATCTGTTGTCATGCAATTAACACTGTTGCACTGTGAACAACCTTCTATAGCACCTTTTATTTGTGTCTTCTAGAGTTACGTCACATACTGTAGGACTCATCTATTGTCAGCCTAAATTGCTGTGCAGACACAAACTCTCCAGAAAAATGCAATTAAAAAAAACTATCCTGACTTTAGTCACATTTTAAGGAGACTTGAAAGCTACAAATCTACTGCGAAGTGTTAACCTCTTTGTCTCCTACAGATATCAACGAGTGTGAATCGAAGATAGATATGGAGAAAGTGTGTGATCATTTTTGCCACAATTACATAGGCGGATATTACTGCACTTGCAAACAAGGGTACCTTCTCCATGACAACACAAGATCCTGCACAGGTAAGAGCCATAGCCAAAAGCTCAAGAGGCTTGTTCATCTGAGCTCAATCAAAGGGTCAAACGCTGTAAAGATCGGTTCAGTGTTCAGGGATTGCCACATAACATTTGACTGTAGATTGATCTCTTTATGGGGTTTCTCAAGCTAAATACACAGCTCAGATCCCCCCTGCCAGACACAGCAGATATTGATGGAAGTAAAGCAATTTACATTAGTGTGCATTGACTTCTGTTTGATATGTTCGGCTTTAACATACTAGAATTCCACATCGTTTGTTGATTATATAATCAAATAATGACCAAGTCTTTAATTTGGCCCAATTTCTTGCTGTGGTATTGAGGTGTTATAATTACAAAATGATGGTGATTTCAGACTTTCCCCTGAAGTGTAGAGGAAAATTAGATCAGTCTACAGTATTGTAAAGTGTTATTAAAGATAATTATTTGGATAAAAAACATTTGTCTTTCAAAATGTTAATACTGCAGAACAAATCTTCAAAAAACTATTTTCTGACATTCAAAGTCGGGCACAAAGTTGATAGTGTTCTAGATTGGATTTCGTTTTATCATAACTGGCCTGTTCTAACTTATTTCAGATTGAAATGGCACACTGATGCATAAAGTAGTTGATCTATGCCAGCTGATGCAAGACAAGGTTAATTACTGTCGATTCCTAAGGGAAAGCAAACTTCAAATGGCATTAAAAATTGATACCTGTGTGCAGCACCAATAGTGTACTGACTCTATGTCATTAATCACAATTACCAGTTGATGTGCCTGAAATTATTATTCTATGCCACAGGAAAAAGGGTGACAAAACAAATCATGCAATGAATAGGCAAAAATGATTATCTGCCTACAGATTGTACTAATTGTATGAATTATAGGAACTCAGCCTCTTTGCAAAACTAATTTGTTAACAACATCTGCACCCTTGCCGGCGCAATAATGCAAACCTAAATGAATCCCATTATTTATTATGCCAGTAAATGTCCCGATTGACGCGGAAGAGTTATTTTCTTCCTTACAATAACTTTTTCATAGCCAGTTCTGTGTTGTTGCACATATGACACCTGTTCATCAGTATTTCCAAGTAACATACAAGGGCTCAAACAGAGAGAACTGCGCACAATATCTGAAACATGCCTGAAAATGTGAGTCTTCCCTGCAGTGCCATGCCTCAGCCAGGTGTTGACCTCGCTGTCGGGGGTTCTGACCAGTCCGGGCTACCCGAACCCTTACCCCCCCATGAGTCAGTGTGATCACACCATAAGTCTGCCAGAGGGCCACAGAATAACCCTGGACTTCCTGGAGCCCTTTGACGTAGAGGGACACTCGGATGTCCCTTGTCCATACGATATGTTGAAGGTTAGTTCAGTGACTTCAGGACACGCAGGGAGATAAAGGAGCAATGTATTCCTCCTCATGCCCGTGAAGGCAGTTTGTTACAGACTTGTCCTCCTCGGGTGATATACTTCATGAGCATGCCGTTTCCTGCATAATTAAGTTTGGGTGGACATAAATCGTCCAGGCCTTTAATTAATCTTCTTACCTGATGTTCCCCCTTTTTTGTTTACAAGATTTCGACAACTGGACAAGAGTATGGACCCTTTTGTGGATCAACAGCACCCGGTCGGTTTGACACAGGAAGTTACCAAGTGCATGTTGTGTTCAGATCTGACTCTAGTGGGAAGAACAAGGGATGGAAGATCAAGTATACCAGTATTAAGACTGGATCCTGATGGCTTGTTGACATGAAAACTGTGTGTGAGCATATATGCTATCCAAATATTTGACACAGTGACTTTTACACTGTGGCAATCTTTAAAGATTCAGTGTGTTTGTGATATTGTGTTCAAGCACAAAGAAATGTATCTTTATGATAATCTCCACATTTTGTCTGTATGTAATTTCCAATGATATTGTGAATGTTTTATTTCTTTGTTTGCTGAGATGCTGTTGTAATGTCACCTTTACAAACCTCTTTTAACCACTTTTGAATTGGCATTTCATTGTTTTGCTGCTTGTGGGAATAAAAGAAGAAAGACATTAAAATGGCTAATGTAAGTGTTTTGACCATACAGCATGTAGCCAGATGTTATCAGACAAGAATTTTGACACGATTAAACATTCACACATTGTACTAAGCTGTGTACCATTCTGCATTTTTCCTGCTGAAGACAGAAACACATTGTAATGCAGAAATAACAACAAAATTCCATGCAGTGTACGTCAGCACGTCTTGTCTAAGGAGCGATGACTGCTAGTCGTTTAACCCTCATACATTATGCAGCTTGTTCTCAGCAATCCCAGCTCTGCCCCTCTATCAAAACAGTCATTATGGGGTTCTTCAGACACATGAAATTGCCTCTCAATTGACACTTTTGCATTCCCCTGCTAACATTTCCTCCATCTGTGGCCCACAAGTGGGGCTAAAGAGCACACCTGAATGTGCGGCTATGAGAAAGAACTGCATTTGTGTTGATTTGATGCAGGGTTTTATTCATTTTCTTCTGGTCTCTTGAAATAAGCCAATGCCACTTCTCTGTGAACTTGTGACTTTGTAAAAAGCTCATTATGTTAACTTACTGTAGACAGGTCTGTTTCGCTGCTAACATACTTTGGACTTTGAAAGCCAACATAACTTAGCGATGTGTGTACTGACCCATACATCACCTTGACATTTGTAAACCCAACAGAATCAAAGGCATCAGGTCAACATGTGTTCTCTAAAACTCATCTGATCACATGGGATATGGTTTGTTTCCAGCATGAAACGCCTAGAGTCCCAAGGGCAACCGGGTGCTTACAAAGAAAAAACTCCAGTTGTTACTTGAGCACTATAATCCAATCCACCTAGACAGTGCGACACATGCACAATCGACCGCTCTCGTACCCCACTCACTCCTAACTGTTCAGCCTAGTTGGAGCCGAATACACAGGAATTACACACACCGTGAAACCCATTAACCAATTCTTGGAAAATATCTAGCAGCAGCTTGCAGAGCTAACATACCCATCACTATGTTGTCCACAACCCTACAATGTGTGCACAAACCTACTATTTTTTAAGAGACAATATGGTGTGCTGAACTGTGTCGTTTTTTCTACAGTGTTTTCTTAATGTCTATGGAAAAGCATTTAATTATCGGTTTCAATTTCATTTTCACAAAGAAGGGCTCCTAGCTTTTAACAAGTGCTATTATTTGGATTCATAATTTGAACCGCTAAATTCCTGTATTTACAATGTGTGTTTTTGTATTTCTGCTAGTTTTCTTTATGTATAATCTGACAACATTTGTACTTATGAGTTATGAAACCTCTTATTTTGCTCCATAGCAGAATAGATATTATCTCAATAGGAACTTAATGGTTAAATAAAGGATGAATACATTAACAGATGTTTGTGCATGAGAATTTTCAGTGCATAAATTGGCATGAATTTAATAATAAAGGATGAAAGCACTGTCAAATTCAGGGCTGTTTAATTTGAGAAAATCCCTCCAACCACCATTCAACATGTTTATAAAAGGCACCTTAAATCACATAATGTACACTCATGAAACCTCCATTCCAATATTTGCATGTTTAAAATAAATACAAAGTCGGAATGTGTTGGCCAACTGACACTTATCAATTCTTACAGGGTTGCAAAACAGAGCGACGGCTTAATAAATGACGGATCTTGATGTGAATGCACTACTTTCCTCTTTATTTTATGCTAAAGTACAAGCTGGTGATGACATCTTAATCTCACAACAACACAACAAAGATGATCCTTCCGCCTCATGTGTGTTCATTGTTCAAGAGAGCTCTGATGAAATGACAGGCATGACAAAGGCTATATTCTACAGGGTGAGTCACAAAGACCTGCACACCATCTTACACCACACAGCCAGTAGTATATAACAGTAGGTCTTAAATGAGCTCTCATCCAGAAATATTGGTTCTATTGGACGAAGCCATTGTACCCATAATGTGTTCAGTGAAGCTTTCATGTATGAAGTAATATCATCTTGTCCTACTTTTTCACGATTAATACCGAGCTTTTATCAAAAATATATTTGGTTTTCTGCCAGAAACGTCTGTCTGCACTGTAATGTACAAGTTACTTTGGTATTGTACCTTCAAGGGTAAAGAGTTCCTGAGCTCACCATATTTTGATCAAATGAAGCATTCATGGTGAGTTTGCTCACATATGAATGACATTTCAAACTAAGGTGCACATACATGAAGAATGTGGTACAAATTGGAAAAAGGAAGTACCACATTTAGGCATAAGTGCATATTCATAAAACGGTGTATGTTCCCTAAATCCTGAATAGGGATACCTGTTATCCAAGTATTTCCACCACAATTTCGAAATTGTTCTATTCTAAGATTTGACTGGAGGTGCCTTTAAAATGGGGGGCCCGCCTGGCTCCCAGCTCATGTAACGAGGAACGCACTGCTACTCTGAATGTCGAAAATATCCTTTATAATTAAGATGTAAATGACAATTCAATGATAGAACATAAAACTATTTCTACACAAAATAATATATTTATGTACCATAAACTGGAGTTCCACAGGGTTTCTCTAGCAAAAGTAAGTACATTTCGTACACATATTTAGCCTTTTAAAATAAAATGCATTGTACAATTTGCTGAATCGTTTTTTAAGAGAGCAGAATGTAAACAATTATACTGGAAAGCTGATTCCATAGTATAATTCCAAATGTTGGGAGATACACATTCATCAATAGTTATATGAGAAGTTTGATTTGACTCTCATGCCTATCCACTTAAAAAAGTAGCTGGCATAAGCAGAGTTTATCATAAGGACTTAGAACAGGAGGAAAGAGTTAGCCTGGCTGTGAAGTTAACACAATCTGCCCACTAGCACCCCTTAAAGCTCATTACTTAACATGTGATATCTCAATTGTTAAATCAAACAATGGGGCAATATTTGCGGGGCAATATTAGGGCTATTTCTTGCTGTTCACCCACAGTTGTTTCCAGGAGTATTGTCACCGCAGTGAGATTGCAAGGCATCGAGCAGGGACTGAACTAATATGTAAAAACTGAGCTTACATGGTGCTAGTAGCTTTAATTGCTTACCTTTGGAAGGAGCCAGGCAAGCTATTCCTGTTTCCAGTCCTGATGCTAAGCTAAACTAGCTTTGACTTGTCATGGATGTGTTGACCTGTGATTAATTTCACAGCATGACACTAATCACAATATGGAGTAAATAGAGAGGTGAAGCCAGTGGTTAGCGCTAGCATCTCTTTGATGAATATTGCTTGTGCAAATGACTGTGCTGCTTCTGCTTGAGGAAAAAATAATTCAAGTGGTTTGCAAGTTTTCACAAAGTAAAGCAAATGTCAACATCATTAACATTCATGGATTCCAGCATTATGGATACTATGAGAAATATCCCATTCTTCTGACCCTGAGGCAGGTAGTGTGATTTCTTATCAGTCTCTTCTCAGGTGAAGCCTCGGCCTAGTTGCTGCCTTGGGATGGCGTTTCTGCAGCTTCCTCCGCGCTGTGCACACCGCTGTCCAGCTGTGCGTTGCTCCTGATAGACTGCACGGCCTGGACCTGCTGGAGACGTCCGGTCAGCTCTGCCTCGCAGGCCTGCAACAGCACAGAAGTCCTCGTTCTGTCCCAGCCCAGCACCTGCTCCATTGCTTCTACCCCTCTGGTAACTACCATCTAAAAAACACATTAGGAGGCTTCATTTTTAGATACATATAGAAAGATAATGCAATCCAATCAGACATCCCTGTAATAAATCCTATCCTTTGTGACTCTTATAATGTTCAGTTTTTGTTGACACTGTGAGAGTAGAGCCGAGGGAGTAGTTAGTGGTGTTTGTGCACTGAACTCTATACCAGTGAAAGGTGCTTCTAATATTTAGCTTTCTTTATGTATTCAAATAGGGGTTGACCAAATCTTAGCTTAGCATTTTAGTTCAAGTGAATGCCCTTTAGGACTTTAAGACAGAGTCACTTATAAAGTATGAATGTGTTGTGTCAGGACTTGCAGCTTTCCGTAATTTTTAAAAGAGACTTATTAAGGCATGTTAAAGCACACACTGTAGAAGTGTTGAGTCTCTGAGAGCATTACCTGCAGATCCTCAGTGGAGAGTCTGGTCTCTGGGCTTGTTTTTCCTTTCAGGACCATCAGTGTCCTGGATATGAATCCGGATGCAGAGTCCACCTCCATCCCATCCACCTCCACTTCTACAGCCCCTGACACATTAAAATGGATTCTCTTTCAGGATAATTTGTTGTATAAGGACATTTTTTGAATAAATCTCTTTGAGAGGTGGGATTATTTAGCAGCAACAATGGTTCCACCTAGTGGCTATAAAGCAAAGGCATAGCTCTTATCTTATAAGCCCTCTAAATACAAAGATACATCTGACAAAATAAACTCTGCTCTGAAAGAAATAACAACAATGAAAAACATTTTTCATTAATTATCTTAACTATTTGATTTTAGGGGCTTGAATACATTGAAAATGATAGCTTTCCCTAGAACCACTATTGCTGTGAAATACTCTCTTCATTAACCAAACTGTGAAATACATAGACAACTCATCACACAGCATGAGAAAGCCACAGTATAAGAGGTTTTAACCAGGAATTATATTATAATACAATAGTCTTTTTTAAATAAATTCCGTATTGTAAAAATGAAAACCACCCCGCAATGACACAGCCTTACCTTCCTGGCTGGCCTGGCTTGACGATTCCTGCTGTCCTTCTTCTTTCTCCGCAGCTTTAAGGTAGAGCTGGAGCAACTCTTTGGACTGCCTCTCCTCCTCTCGTCGGTCCAAAACGCCCTGCAGTGTCTGCTGAAGGTCCCCGGCCTTCTTTTCCTTGAAGCCCAGAGCAGAGGCTAGCTCGGGGCATGGGGCATCCACTAAGGTCTGGAACATCAGGTGAAACGAAGCAATACAATACTTTAACTTTGATAAAGAACACTACAGTTGGTCTATGTGGTGCTTCATAGCAACAACAAAAAGCAGAACAAAATAAGGAGGAAGAGAACAGGACATGTTAAAGTCAAGCCGATAAAATCTTCAAAAATGTTTTCTTTTTACTTATTTTTTTATAAAGATTGAATTCAGTTTTAAAGTGCACATGTCATATGGGTGTGTTGCAGATATTACACAGGAACACAATCAATTAAAGATGGAAAGAAGGAGATGCCTGCCATAAGGCTGTTTCATCTTTTTAGAAACAGAGTAATAATGCTAGCACCTGTAATTCGGCCTCAGACATGAGGATGATGCTGGAAAGGTCCTGCTTCAGCTGCTGAGCCAGGCTCCACCAGGGTGCTATAGCACTGGAGGCGTCCACAGTATCGGCATCCAGCACCAAAGAATCCCTGGCCATCCAGGCCGTGCCACCATCCACTATAATGAAAAGTCAATTAGAACACAGGGATGTGCATTTCATTGTAAAATTATAGGAATTAGTTCACTGTGACAAATCTCAGAAGGAAGTAAAAAGCTTACTCCTGCGAACTGGAGACCATGTCTCTCTTTCATGCAATAGCATGAACTTTGTGTTTAAAGGTAAACACAGAAAGTAGGCCTGATCCTCTACTATCGTCCCATCATCTTCTAGGACGACTGAGACCGGCCCAGCGGGGCTGAACCCAAGAGACTCACTTCCTGTGGAAAGAGCAGAAATTAAAGTTTTTTTGTGAATATCCTTTATCACAAGTGCTGGGAACTTTGATAAACTTTAGCCATAGCCTACATCACAGCAAAACAAGCAGGACAACTAAGTTCCAGCTAAGCTAAATATTTCAGGCAGTAACAACGAACACACCATCGCACAGCAAATTACTATCGCAGGATTCAAGCAAATACTGACCACTTCGACAAACAACTCAATCCGTCTAAGCTGTCACCTCTTCTTTCATCACAGCACAATCACTGCTGATTGTGCTGTTTACTCCAATCCAACATTAGGCCCTTTCTACTTGTTTGTATATTCTTTGTTAATGAACAATCTATAATTCAGCAATGGGTTTGCTAAACATGGCTCTGGTAGTATAAGTTACAGTCCCCACTGAGTCTGTAACTTTGGAAATCACATGTGAAGCATCTTTGTGGTGAAAGTAAAACTGAAACCATTTACTTGATTCATTAACCAGTTTAATAGAGCAACAGTGAGCAGCTTTATTTTGTGTTTAACTGTAGCCTACTTATAGCCTCTGGTATGTGCTCTCTAACAAAATGGCTGTAACAACATATTTCATTGGCATGTGTACAAAGGGTCAGGTTTTGTGTCTCCTGGAGTAATAGGATTTAAAGATAGAGATAGTTTAAAAAAAAAAAAAGACAGCACTTGTGACAGAGCCTGTATTTGAGGTTTATCAGAGTGTAAAGTATCCATAGCTATGGGCAACGCCTGCTGACTAGTGTTCCAGGAATGGGAGGAAAGGAGGGAGGTCTTGCCTGACTTTTTCATCTTTAGTTCCTGCAAGTTTCAACACGATGTTGCTCTACTCAGCTCGTTCTTGATGCTGACAGATTAGCAAGACTAAACTGCAGCAAATTCCAAATGGCGGCAATGTTAGCCGAAACAGTGCTGACAATCATTTTACATCATAACATTTGTGTATAAGATGGCACAATTCAGTTTAGTAAAATATAGAACAAATGAAGTTATTGTGACCGCTTTATAGACTTATTGTGAGTATTCTCTTAAATATGTATAGTATAAAACAGTTTTGGTAATGGGAGCCAGATATGATAGTCACCCTTTAGACATGTTAACAAATTCTAGCCATTCTAACTTACCTTTTGTCTTCAGCTCAGCTAAGGAGGGAACTACCAACCCGTATGATTTCTGCCGTGTGAAATTGCACACCCTACACGGTTTCCTATCTGTCATTCTTGGCTTTATATAGAGAAACGGATTTTTCTTCTTTCTTCAAACTTAAAGCTGTCAGATGCGGACTGCAGTTCTCGCCTGTCTCGAGTTTCGAACACGGAACCGCGGCGGTGTCTTCTTCTCTGAGGTGGAAAGGCAGCGTCCTGAGTTAGTGTTGCTTCACTGCCATCTTCTGGAGAAAAGTCACATTACAGCTCAGATTTTTTTCTTTCTATTAATTTACTTACCTATTTTTTTTACAATACCAACTATTTGTTGTGCAAAATGTGAATGTCTTATCATTATATGATGCCTGTATTGAACAAACACTTCCGATGGCATTTTAAGGTGAAAGGATGTCTAATTGTATTATTTTGTTGACACCTTGTTTAGCTATTTCTTTTATACCTTCTCTTGATTGCCATTGTTATAAACTCCTGAAAAGTACTGGATGTACCTGATCTAGGCAAGGCAAGTTTAGTTAACACATTTAGCTAAAAGTTAAATTAAAAGAGCTTTACATAAAACATGAGAAGTATTGAGATAAAGTGCAAAGAAAAACACATACAAGTATTTAAAAATAGTCATACAAGACCCAAGAGAATAGAAAGTTCAAACCATTAGCTCAAAAGGGGGAAAGGAAGGTATACAATACAAAATAATAAATGTTACTCCGCCATGAATAGTTTGTTGATATAATAAAGGAATCAAACAGATAGCTGTTCTACATTTTTAGTTTGGGCTTCGGGGACAAAAAGCAGACCTGTTCTTTTTCGATTTGGTGGTTGAATATTTTCATGGACTTAAATTATCTATAGGTCTTTTTCTGCATAAACTCTGTGGCATTTCTCCTGTCTCAACTTAGTTCTGTACATACTGTTAGAGCCTGGGCCTGGAACACATTTAGTACTCATCTCCATTTTCTCCACAAGCACCCATCATCTGCATACCTGTTCTGCAGCATTTTCCTTTTACCCACTTGCTTTTAGTTTTTGCTCTATCTTTGCCTTCTAAGACAAATGATTGTAAACCCTGATTAACAATTAACTCAGACTTTAGTTACATTTTCGTTTTTGCACTTATATAAATTGGTTGTTGTAACAGGCGTAGTAGCCATATAATAAATAGTAAATTATGTTATCACACAGAGTCTGTCTTCAGTAGACTCTGACTTGAAATGTGTCAACTTCTCTCGGGAAACATGAAAACAGCATCGTCTTTACAGTCAGTGTAGTTAATTTCACTTCTTTTTAATGTGTCACTTGGTGGCAATAATGACGTTTAATGTTCCATTATTATTATTACAGCTTATATCAGTAGTACTGGCCTCAACTGAAAGGATTGTCTTGGGCAGGCAGATTCAGAATCAAGGCTGGATTATAAAACAGATAATGGGACCAACTACTCCCGGCCCCCAGACTGTCAGGAGCCTCAATGGCCCCAGATGACTGCTTTTTCTGTTGATTCAATTTGTTATGATTTGTGTAAATTAATGCACCACTCATGCACAACATATCTTTAAAAAATATCCTGCATTAAATGCTGTCCCTGCATTATTGATCATACCTAAAGTGATCCTTTAATAGAATAAAAATTGATTTGAAAAAGTGCCCCCTTGGAAAAACCCGATTTTCATAACTATGAACCGCTATTATAAATAGTAAATAAACTATTTTTTTTTTTTGTATTATTATTTGATAACACACACTGGGCCAGTACATCTTATATTTTAAATAGCTTACTGACATAACTATTATTATTCATCAAAGTTGGGGATATCGTGCTTGCAAAGCAAATTCCAAGTACCTTTCATTTGACTTCTGTTTTCTCTGAATGTATATGTACAGTGCAAACGAAAAAATATTAAAAAAATCAGTCAAACCCTTAGAGTGAGGATCTCTTAAAACGGTTATCTAATTTGCCCAAAGACCAAGTATAAAGTATAATAAGAAAATGGCTGTAGGCTATCTCAGAAACTACAAGGAGCACAATCAAGTATTTCATATTTTAATTAAGTGGGATATCAGATAGGCAAACAATTGTAGTCCAAAACACTGATATAAAGGCACACACAAATTAACACAATGTTATAGTTTTATGTTATTTTTAGAGAGAGCAATCAGGACACATGCTATGGCATTTTCCTTGACATAACAAAAATAGTGTTTTTGTAAAATGATAAGATAAGAAAGTCCGTTTTTGTGTGATGAATATGCAGTGTTTAGAGCCTTCAGGAAAAGCAATCGAGAGTGGCTCACTCGAGCAGCCTGTAAGAAGACGAGGAAGATGGCATCCACCGAGCAACCTGATCCACCAACACAGGTCTACATTTATGCAACAAATACATTCACCTCTCATTGTTCAGACGCGACAGTATAATGTATTTAGATGACATGACACTTGAATGCCTTCCTTTTCTTTAGTTACTTTTATAACTGCTTTGCTAGTAAGAGGTTAGCAAACACTTGCTAGTTAGCATGCTAGCTAGCTGCTGCATCGCTTCAAAAGTTCAGACATGCTTGTGTTGACAAAGTGAACGCAAAAGGCCGACTTTATTCTGCTTCACCGTACGATGCTAAAATGTCTGTGTCTGTTCTAAGTAGTCTGTTTAACATGACCTTGCATAGTACGTCCTTCCACTTCAACGTGTAGTCTTTCTTTCTCTGTCTTATTTTGTGCATTATGACATGATGTGTAAAGGTCACTGTAAGCCAAACAAGCCTGGTGGATCACTCGAACCTCTGCTAACATTGACAGGCAGAAAAACACACATAAATAAACGCAATGCTTAAACATGTATGCAGGGACAGCTTTACAATTTGCCTCTACATCCACTGTTCATTTAGGCAAGCATAAATCATATTTTATCCAGAATGAAAGAGCATAGTTTAATCATTAACCATGAAAAGGCAGACTGAGTAAACCAAGAGACTGATGAAGCAGGAAAGACATTAAGTAAGGAACTGAAGTCATGAATGATTGTCATGCATGCTAACATTTGCATAACAATTACTTATTTACTAATTAATCAACTGGTGCATGAGCATAGCCATAAATATGTATTCCTTTTTATGCACGTGTATCGAGTTTATGTCGATGTATATCGTTTACTACTCTGTTTCTACCACGGATTTAACCACTTACTTGACTAGATTTGATTATGTCTGTTATGAAGTAGTTGTATGTGGCAATGTCTTTAACTCTCCTGAGTAGTTTGATGCTGTTAAATGTATTTTAAGAATTTAATTTCTTTTGTTTCTTTTTTGTTATTTCGGCAGCATTAATCTGTGATATTGCTTTTTTGATGAATGATCACGGCAAATTCAATTATGCTGGAAGAAGTATTTCCACTAACTAATTTTTTACTAAAGAAGAAGTATCAATTACCTTGTCAATTTACTTACACAATTTTACTGGAGTAAAAAGACAAAATTATAAGCATCAAAATAAGGGCCTTCTCCAAGTATAATAGTGGCATGTATTATTGTAATCATTATAGTTGGTCATGCAGTAATATGTACATTGTAATTTGAAGTACTTTTATATTTTGCATCTTATGATCAATACATTCGTATCGTTACTGTTGAAAATGCATCCAAACTGTGAAAATCAAAATTTGTAAAGTTACTAGTAAGTCAAGATATTCATCAGAATCAGAATACCTTTATTAGTCCCACAGAGGGGAAATGTACATTGTTACAGCAGAAAAGAGCCAAAGACGGCATGATGTTACCGAAGCATGCATACAAAAAGTACTTCAGATAAAAAAAGAAATTATAATAAAAAAAGTTACACATTTTACAAAAATACACACCCTGTAACAGTTCTGAGGATTTAGCAGCCAGGTATATATTGCACAGTTTTTGACGGCATATATACAGTTGCAAGAAAAAGTATGTGAACCCTTTGGAATTACCTGGATTTCTGCATAAGTTGGTCATAAAATGGAGGAAGCCAAAGCTGTCCAGAAAAAACATTGCTGCACGTTTGAAGTTTGCAAAAGAGCACCTGGATGTTCCACCGCACTACTCGCAAAATATTCTGTGGACAGATGAAACCAAAGTTGAGTTGTTTGGAAGGAACACACAACGCTATGTGTGGAGAAAAAAAGGCACAGCACACCAACATCAAAACCTCATCCCAACTGTGAAGTATGGTGGAGGGAGCATCATGGTTTGGGGCTGCTTTGCTGCCTCAGGGCCTGGACAGATTGCCATCATCGACGGAAAAATGAATTCAGTTTATCAAGACATTTTGCTGGAGAACTTAAGGCCATCTGTCCACAAATTGAAGCTCAACAGAAGATGGGTGATGCAACAGGACAACGACCCAAAGCACAGAAGTAAATCAACAACAGAATGGCTTCAACAGAAGAAAATACGCCTTCTGGAGTGGCCCAGTCAGAGTCCTGACCTCAACCCAATTGAGATGCTGTGGCATGACCTCAAGAGAGCGATTCACACCAGACACCCCAAGAATATTGCTGAACTGAAACAGTTTTGTAAAGAGGAATGGTCCAAAATTCCTCCTGACCGTTGTGCAGGTCTGATATGCAACTATAGGAAACGTTTGGTTGAGGTTATTGCTACCAAAAGAGAGTCAACCAGTTATTAAATCCAAGGGTTCACATACTTTTTCCACCCTGCACTGTGAATGTTTACATGGTGTGTTCAATAAAAACATAAAAAATATAATTGTTTGTGTGGTTTTAGCTTAAGCAGACTGTGTTTGTCTATTGTTGTGACTTAGATGAAGATCAGAACACATTTTATGACCAATTTATGCAGAAATCCAGGTAGTTCCAAAGGGTTCACATACTTTTTCTTGCAACTGTATATATTGCACATAGTTGATATTTAACAACAAGAGGTGTGTGTGTGTGTGTGTGTGTGTGTGTGTGTGTGTGTGTGTGTGTGTGTGTGTGTGTGTGTGGTCTACTAGGGGCCGTGCTGGTTATATAGTCTGACCGCTGCAGGAAGGAAGGACCTTGTATGGGAGTAGAAGTATACAGTTGCACACAATGGAAATACTCAAGTAAAGCAAATGTATTTAAAATTGTACAGTTCTGGATACATTTTCTTAATAATTTTCCACAACAGCTGCTATTTGATCACTGCTTCCAAAAACCAGCATAGCCTCCATCCTCCAGTAGATGGCAGTCTAATACAAGTGTTTGTTTATCCCCTCAGCCTGGCCTCCCGCTTGGAGATGATACGGCGGCCCCCCCCAGAGAAGCACTGGTAAGAACTCAGTGTTTTATACAAATAACTTGACTGATAACCACAATGTTGAAAACTAATTTTAGAATGGCTAATTAATATAAGTGCATATAAGATGATAGGCATTGCAGGTGAGATCAAATGATACTCACATTTAATTTAATCCCATTCCCATGTAAAAAAAAACAAACCTGTGTATTATTTATGGCTTCTAAATATTGATGAATGTTGCATGCCATGATTGTCAACCAAGTACTAATTGTGTGCTTTCCAATGAAACCAGCTGTTTGGAGAGAATGAATGTCAAGAAGATACACTATGCAATTGATAACACATAGTTGAGAATCAGTCGACTTTTTTATGATCTAGTAAATTAAAGAAGTTGGTACTCTTTTTTAAATTTTTTATTAGCAAAATAATTATCTTCGCTACCAGATTATATTACCCAAACCCCAGTGAGATCAAGTGGTGAAGCCTTCCAATTAGCTGACATTCACTTTAGCACCACTCTGATGTCCCCAAGTCAATAATGAGAGTGTACTCTAGGTTCCTTGTCTTTAGAGGAAAAAGGTCTATTTTAGCTTTAACATTGCTTTAATCATGTCTAGCACAACACTTTTACTACATATCTATTTCATTTTTAGCCCATTGTTTCAAGAGTGGGTCATCAGCCACAGTTTGATCCAATTTTTTTAATTGTCTCTAGGTCACCAATAGAAAGAAGAAAAAAAAATGAACAATAGACTTTTTATAGTAGCCTCAAAAAAAGATTCAAAGAAAGTCAGTCAATTCATTCTTAAAGATGTAGACTGCAGTAAAATAATATTTTAATTTCCTTGCATCCCACTTTCTGTAAATATTGCTCAATTGCTGCATTACAGTAGTACATCATATTAATATTCAGCTATAAGAAATATTCACATGATTGTTGTCCCCCCTTTATCTCAGGGTCTCTCGACTCTTCATAAGTTCTCTAAATTGTAAATACATTTCTCCGTAAAGTGTGAATGGAAGTGTTCATTACACGTTGCTCGCATCAAGTGATGACAATGATTATAGCCGGGACTGTCTTATCGCTAAGTGGGATGGAATACATCACAGGTGCATTCACTGTCCTTGTATGGACATAGCATCCAGGTTACAGGAGTGCTGCATTGTTCAGTCTACATGTCTCAATGTCATTCACCACCATTCACTCTTCATCCTCCCCCCATCATCCCTTCATGCCAAGGCTAATTTAATCCTGGGGTTATTGATTGTGGGAGCATTCTCCGAGGCTTTCTTTCAATTTACTTCAATTTCATCATCCCAGTGCGCTTCGAGACTGCCTCCTCAAAAAGGGAAGAAATTCTTGTTATGAGGGTCCTGATTCGAGACTGGTTGACAAGTCTCCCCGCACCACCACCACCCTCACTTCCAAGCCCTTTTCTCCTTTCTCTTTTTGATGAGCTGCTCTTTCCCAGTTAAGTGGATTATTACAGTAGGGATAATTCTTGTCACATGGCATTATTTGGATGAGGTGAATAATTGAAATTTATGTCTGAAAGGATTGTATCTGGATGAGAGGAAAGGGAGTGCTGGCAGGGTTGGTAGGGCAGAGAGAGGGGGGGGGAGAGAGAAAGCACACACACACACACACACACACACACACGTTTGTAGAACATTTATGTGCACATGTGCATGTCAAGCAAGCCAGTGTGTCAGGCTGGGGACACCAGTCATGTTAACAGGTTCTGACTCACCTCGCCCAGATCAGCAGGCCCTGGCACACAGTGTGGGCGCTCCTCTGTGGCAAAAGGGGGCCTTAGCTCAGGGGCCGGTGCCACAGCCTTTGCCCCCACCCGGGCCAGAGGGGGAGGCCCGGACCTGCAGTTATAGAGAGACAAAAGGGAGGGAGGGACTGTTGGAGTGCGTGTTCCATCATGGTTGACTGGTATACCAGTGGCTGCCAGCCGCTGCTGTTGCCTCTGGCGCTGCTCTTTGCTCACTCTCACCCCGGCTTGCTTCATCTATAACCCCCCCCCACCTTCCCCTCGCTGCTGCCATGGCCATTTCCCCTTCCAGTCTCTCGCCGGTGTCTCCCTGGTCTTTGTGCTCTCTCCCTGCAGTGACACCCTGCGCTCACTCCTCGTCTCCTCCGATCACTCAGTCCTCACTGCCTTCATATCCACCCAAACGCATCACAACAATAATTATATGTCTACAAATCCCTTTGATCACATGAAAAGAGAGCAGGGCTAGCTCTGAAACAAGGAAATACGTCAACATATTATCCAGTATCATAAGAGAATGTTGTAATATGAGACTAGATATTGTATTTTATGTTGTATTTTGTTCATTATAAAAGCTGCATTCAAAATTACATTTAGTCTTTTTTTCACAAATGTGTCTGCTATTAGGGAAATGAAGAATGAATAACGGCTATACAGCATATCCACACTTGTTTCTTTAGAAATTATAGTTTAAATAAAAAATGAAAATAAAGTAAAGAATAAGAACATTCATAGAGATGCTCGTATCGTGCAGAAAATATTTTTGTTATAGATTAAAAATTATTTAATTATCTATTCATCTAATAATTATTATTTTCTTGCATAATCTTGTGTCTATAAAATATAAAAAAACACTTAATAATTTAAAATTATTTATTTGGTCTGACTGTCTAAAAACCAAAGATTTGTTGGTTTACTATTCTATATGATAAAGAAAGGAAGCAGCAAATAATCAGACCAACAAAAAGAGAAACTTTTTCTTGCGGAGTGTGTGTATGAAAATGTGTGTAGCTGTGCAGCTGATCTACAGGAGTGTAGACCATTTCACCAAATATTATTCTTGTTCTTTAAACTTTTAGAATTAGACCCGTCCTTTACTCTCAACATGTTGAAAAATTACCCAAATGAAAAGAAATGCGTTTGTGTGTGCGTATGCAAGCATGTGGTTTACTTGTGCAGGAGTTGCATCCGTACCATCTTGGCACCTCTGTATGTGCATGTGGGCATATGTAGTAGTGTTAACTGAGTGTGTTTGTATTTAGGTTTAGGGGTTTGAGTACAACAGAGGGAGGGTGGTAATGGGAGGGGGAAAATAATTGTAAGAAGAACATCCCCGGTCTCACAGCAACTTCAAAAGCTCCCCTTCCCCAGGATATTAAGCGACTGTGATGAAAAATTTAGCAAGCGTTAAATAAGCCGCTTTGAAGTGATCTGTTTTGGCTCAGCAGTCTCCAAATTTCCGTAGCCCCTCTGCAATAGCCATCACACTATAGAGGGAGAAAAAAACAACAGTGTGTTAAGTGCAGGAGTTGTGGGGGACCTGGCAGGTTAGCAGAGGACGGGCCAACAGAAATGGTTTCAGCCAGCGTCGTGAAGGTATTGCCGCTGATGTCGTCCCCTGTTGTCTTTCTCCGGCTCTTTTTCTCCTCATTTCACCCCGCTCTCCCTGGCGACTCTTCAGCTGAGCCCCATGAGTCGCAGGCAGACAGATGTTCCTCATATGTTGGCGCTAAAAAGAGATTTTTTTAAACTTCATGCGTGGGTGTAGCACAACTGTAACACAGCGTTGATACCAGGAAGTCAAGAGGTTACTCTCGGGTCTTGACTCAGTACTTTTTCTCCCCAATGACTTCCCCCATGTGCTTGTTGAAATGTGTTTCCTCTGCATGTTTGTTTTTTATTCTCTGGATTATATGACTTGCACAATCTTCTAGAAAAGAAAAGATAATATGTTTTACAGTAAGTGATTTCTGCTTTTTTACATCCTCACCACCATAAAACAAAAATAACAAGAAGTTAATCTCTTATTGCAGCATTTATATTTCAATTCATTTCACATTCATCACTTTCGAAACCATTATTTAAATGTTTGAGGACTCCAGGTTTCAACACGCCCCAAATTAATTATTAGGGCAGAATAAGAAATGGGAGCCGGTAATGAGTCTGATATGGTAACTCCATTCTGTCAAGAAACTAGGCTACCATTTAGTTAGTCAAGGGAACCTTCTCTGAGATTTTCCTTTTTTCCTCTTTGCTCATTACTTTAATTGTAATTGTAATCCTTTATTGGAGCTGTCTGCAGTAAAGGAGAGTTATGGTCCGAGTGGGGGCGCGAGCCATAGAGATATTTCATGATTATTGGAGAAGACGGTCACTAGGTGGCAGCCACTAGTTCGGCCTTGCTGTAATTACTCGGTGGGAAGTGATGGCGAGAAATGATGTGTGTGTGTGTGTGCTTGTGAGAGTGTGAGAAGAGAGATTTTTCAGATTCTAACACACTCCTTGAAAGGGAAAAGTCGAATAAATCTGATCACCTGCCATCGCACAGTCAATAGATTTAGTATCCTGTCACATGTGACTCTAAACATGCTGCATGTTCTGCAGAAGCACAGAACAAAGGCGTGTGGGACATTACTATTCATGCTCTTGTGTTTCATTTGAAATAAGTAAACTCTGATCTACAAACGGAACACTACAAATGATAATGCCATGACATCATTGTGTTTAATTTCCCATGCCCATAGGTTTACATGTGAAACATCTGCCCACCACAGTTTGTTTCAGCGGTCGAAGTTTTTATCTTTTAAAAGCTCAATTCTCTGTTTCTCAGCGCAACACTCATTGTGCATCATGCGCTGTTTGTTTCGGTGGTTAATGATACAAGAAGGGCCCTCTGTTTTATTGTTGCTGTGTTGCACTTTTCCCCCTCCTCGCCCAACCCGGCAGCCAGCCTCCTTAGAGGACTCTGTATGAATTCTCACTGTCATGTCCAAGGACGAGTGGCGCAGGGTCAGCTAATTGCTTTTATGATTATGATTTCACGTCAGATTTATCGTGCATGCTCGGAGCACATCTTCCAGGTCCTGCCGACGTTGCTGGCTCGGATGGGGAAAATGAGTTTACAGCTTCTGGCTGTGACTTCTTGTTTAAGTGCAGGTCACACTTTTTGACTCATTAGAGTTGAACGCAGAGGCTGAATCACACAGGCTTTTCCTGTAAAAGCCTCTGTTTTCTATATCTGTAACCGTT